ATAATTCAGTGCTTTCCCTACTATCTGCCTTCCTTGCCCTTTCTCAAGAGGAGAAAAAAAGGGAAAATGAAAATAAAAGCCCCAAAGCCTTAACACGGCAACAACAGAGGCCAAAGTCAACAATGGGCAAATACAGCTGTGGACAGCTTATTCTTCTCTCTGGAAGACAGAGGTTCCTTTCAAAGGTGGGAAGCTGGAATCAGCTCCTCCCTTTGCCTTGGACACAGCTGCTGTGATACCGCTGCAGATATATGGTAGGAAACATAGGCAAGGCTTAGGAGAACAGTGCAGGATGCCAAGGCCAAGTGCTGGGATGGTCTAGGGGGAAAGAAGAGGATCTTTTTTTGACAGAGAAATACCTCCATCAAAAGGGAGCATAACAGCACTGGATTGCTGATGGCATCTGCTGCAGGCCATTCTGGCATATATCTCAGAGGCACAGGAGGTACACTGTGGAGAGAATTTAAAAACTCAGGGACTTCACATTACCTTACTGACTGTCGCCACCTATCCGTAGCCAGACAGCTCTGTAGAGCAAGGCAAAAGAATTTGCTTTGCTATTGGCAGGTGCAGCGCCAGGATCTTCTAGAAGGCATAGTGGAAGAAAGTCTCATGTTCTTCCCTTCTCCTGCTCCACACTTTTTTCTCTTTGGGTGGGAAAACACTAAGAGCTGGCATGGGGCCAGGGCTGCAATCTGCAAGTCAGCATATCTGTGCCTCCATGAAATCTTAGGCAATAGTCCTCTAAACTGCCAAACAGTGGAATCCTGGCTTTTCCTGTATGAAAAGCTGCTTTTGAAACTTCTCAAAAGCAGTTTGTCATGAATTATGATAGCTTCTGTTGGAAAAGCAAATTTCAGGTCCCTTTGCTATGTGAACTTGGGTCTGAAGTTCCTTAAATTCAGACTTAATTTAACAATTTTTAATGTGATCACAGAATATTAAGCAAGGGCTCCTTGATTTAATTTAGAAGCCATTAAAATTAGCATATTTATTTAAAACCCTAATGCATGTTTAACAGAATTTATAATGTATCTCAAAGAACCATCACTGTTGACAGTGGAGTATCAAGTTCAATAATTCTCTGGAAAGAGATAACCTAGATATGCTGGAAATCTGCTGTTAGATTGCTTAACCTTCATGCTTTGCCTTTAAAGTGTGTGTGTTCTTGGAAGTGATGAACCATGCTGTGACATTTTAAAATGATTTCTCCAAACATTTCACAAAACATGTTGCTGCAGGAGTACATGTGAATAAATTTATTAAATTTATATCCCACTCCCTCTCCCCTGAACAGTACTCAGGGTGGCTAAAATAACCCAATAAAAACAAAGATACAATAAATAAACCTTAAAAATATAAAATGATTAAAATATGTCCACTATCAAGCAAATTTCCAATATGATAATCAGAGGCCCCGTTCACACGGAGCATTTGCCACACTAAAGATACGGATGATAGGCAAATTTTCCGGGCGCGATCACACGGCAACATCTGGGAAGCGTAGTTCTCTTGTGGCTAACCTGTGGCTTCCCGCCGAAGATGCGGAGTAAAAAACTAGTACTTACGATGTACTGGTTTCCAGAAAACACGGGGCAAGGGTGGGCGTCTGATCGCGTTTCCGCTGAAATCTTGTGGCATCCGGCGCCCGCCCATGTCCCCTTGCAAACCGGATGTGGTTTTTTTAAAGTCCCCACAGGATGCACACAAACGATCATGCACATGCGCAAACTTCAGTGAGACAAACAAAAAATCCTGTTTGCCACAGAAGCGGCGTGGCGCAGTTGCTGGTGTGAATGCGCCGTGCTGCTTCTTTGCCACGCTGCAGACTAGCCGTCTGATCGGCACCTAATGCCTAACCACAGGACCTTGACAGGACGTCCGATCGGGCTGTCGCACGTTACTTTGTTCTGGGGCAAAAAGCCACGCTTCCCCACCCCCGCATTTTCCGGCCCGTGTGACCGGGGCCAGAGTCTGTTTTCTTAGTGTGAAAGTTATTTCAAGTTATATTGCCAAGTAATATTTTGCAAGGGGTTGTGGTGGCTCAAGTGGTTAAGATGCTGAACTGCAGACGGAAAGGTCAGTAGTTCGGCAGTTTGAGACCTGAGTGCCGCAAGACGGAGTGAGCTCCCATCTCTGGTCCCAGCTCCTGCCAACCTAGCAGTTCGAAAGCAAGAAATTGCAAGTAGATAAATAGGTACTGCTTCGGTGGGAAGGTAACAGCATTCCGTGTGCCTTGGCATCTAGTCATGCCAGCCACATGACCACAGAAATGTCGCTGGACAGTGCTGGCTCTTCGGCTTGAAAACAGAGATGAGCACCGCATCCCTAGAGTCGGATTCGACTGGCTTTCAAGGAAGGGAAACCTTTACCTTTACCTTAATATTTTGCAAATATATAACACCTTGGCAGTAAAGCACAATTTCTCAAGCTTTGTTTAGGCTCTTAGGAAGTTTCTTACCATGGAATCTGTTTTGTTCCTTAAGTTAAAAAATGCTGGAATTTATGTTATAATCGTTATTATCTATGATTTCCTGGAACATTTTCCCATTTCCACCTGGGCCTTCACATCTCCAGTTAAAACAGAATATATTTTCTTGTGTCATTTAATTACTATATTTATTACCCTACCCCAATGCTGCCTCTAAGCTGTGGAGTCTTGTGAGGAAAAATTCTACTCTGTGAACTACTGGCATTAAAGTTGTGAGCGAGCGATTTGGCTACTGCATAAATTAGTTTGCTCAGTTCATATTTTCAAAATAGAACTGAAATGGCATGGTCATTCCTCAGATAAGAATAATAAAACTAGATGTTTTCAGAACTGGTGTTTGAAGTGACTATTAACAGATACAGTAATTAAGAGCAGTGAGTGTGACTGTTTTGGGTGTTGAGCCTAAAGCACAATTTAACAGTAAGGTGTTTTTTAACTCATCAAGCTTGAAGTGAACTTTCATTGGACTAAACTGGCATGGTGAGGGTATGAACTATTATTTCTTAAACATGTCTGTTAGATATATGAGTATTTGACTATCAGGCAGACTATTCTTGTAGAAACTACTTCCTTGTAGTCAAAAAGAATCCCTTAGTGTTTCTCAAGTTAGTGAATCTAAGTGTGTTCTGATGTATTGAAAAAGGCTATAATGGCCCCTGCCACACGGGCAGGAAACTGCAGAGGAGAAGTGTGGCTATTTGCCCCGGGGCAAACTAACATGCAGTAAAGCGATCAGACCTACTGTGGAGGTTCTGTGGAGGTACTGTGGAGGTTCCATGGCAAGGGAGAGGTGCCGATCACAACACACGCCTGCGCGCAATGAAGAAGCGTGCGGCGCGGCGAACTGGTTTTCTTTTTTTGTGTACACTACGAATGCGCATGCTCCGTTGGGTGCGTGTGCGCATCCACGGAGACGTGGGGGAAAAAAACCCCTTTTCCGCAAGGGGACATGGGCGGGCGCCGGATACCACCGGAAACGCAATCAGACGCCCGCCCTTGCCCCGCAGTTTCTGGAAACTAGTACCTCCAAGGTACTAGTTTTTTGCTGCGCTTTTTCGGCAGGAAGCCTCAGTTGTGCCACAGAAGCACTACGTTTCCCAGATGTGCTGGTGAGATCGCGACCGGAAACTCCGCTTGTCTTCCGTATCTCTTGCGTGGCTAATGTTGCGTGTGACCGCAGCCAAAATTGGACTATCTTATGTGGAATGCTTGGTTCTTTTTATAAAGAGAAAATGGCTATATTTATGAGTTGTGTGAATTTCTCCTTTATTATTTGCTAACAAAATCAGCTTAATAGGCATCATCTAGAAAAATATGTAAATTAATAATCACCTCATACATTATTCAAGGAAAAGCTTATTTTGTATCATTGATAGCTCTTATCTTATATAAAGATATGCTAATGGATTTAATTAAAATAATTATACTGAATAATATACCCTGAACTTTACCCTAAAATAGTCCTTATTACTCTCCATAGTTATATTTTTACTCACAAAGTTTGATGGCTAACGGATAATAAAACTTAGGTCACTCAGTAGCCCATATGCAGAACTGAGTTGGCTCTCGTAATGAACTAATTTCCTGTCAGGGAGATACATAAGCTAAAGTCACTCTAGCTGGGATCATAAGAAAAATCTAAATTAGTATAGCCAGCATAAGACCATCACATACTTGTGAAAGTGGGATATCTACAACAGAACAGACAGAGGCAAACATGCTGTCCACAGGCTATAGGCCTGCACTTGTAACCTTCTGGGCAAGGTATGATGTTGCAAGAGGAAATAAATTATCATCAAGAAAGGTTTCCTCACATTTGTAATACATGATATTGGGCAGAGAATCAAATAATTCTACTGGGCAGAGAGGGCAAAAATAAGGCAAATAGCCTTCTTGAATAGATCTGTATTGCTTTCTTCTCATGTATATCCTTCCTCATCTAACCATTAATAACATAAATGCAAACATTTGGTATCATGGGACTGTACAATTCCTATAGCTTATAGACATATAGGAGGGATCATGATTTGCCATCCATACTGGACACCTTAGATTAAGTCCCTTTCTCCTTCCCACATGTGTTTTGAACATAGTTATTCTTGCACATGAGATTTGGGTGGGTTGTTGTGTTTTGAACATAGTTATTCTTGCACAAGAGATCTGTTAGCTTGCAAGGAAAAAAATTGCTTTGTCTTATGTTTACACTGAGGCATTTTTTGCCTTGATGGCTTTTACTCTGGGTATTGATAGCGGTATTAAGGGTGAGAGAAAAGGTGTGAGCAGAGATACTCAAGGCTGTTGTGGTTTAGGAATGGTTGTGTTGTAAAAGTCTGTTTTGAAAATGGTGAGAAGTGGATTGGAGGTAGTTTCCGGCATGAGTAGCATGGCAGCAAGCACATAAGTGTAAAGAAAGAAGGAGCCAAGAGGATTAAATATTGTTACCTTAAATATTGAATTCAGTTGTATGTGTATGTGATCACAACACTACTACGTTTATTTTCAATTCCAGGGAGCTGCACTTAAATATTTGCCTACTATTGTGAATGATGTGAAACTTGTGTTTGATCCAAAAGAACTTAGGTAAGTGTTACCTATATAAAGTAGAGTCTAAAAGTTTGTTGTGGTTCTTAGCTTTGCTTCTTACTTTATAATATTTCATTTTTTAAAAATGTGCATAGAGAATGTATACTATGTATATTTCATTGCTTCAGGGGAAATCTGGCACCCAAGATTAACTATATTCACTTGTTATATATTATAGATCCTGAAAGCGTATAGAATGCATATATATATCACTTTTAGAGTAGATATTTTCCCCAGACAAATGTTTTTGACCTCAATAGATTATACAGTGAGATGTCAAAGATCATAAGTTATTGAGGCTTCAGAATCTTAATAGTCATTCATATTTTTCATAGTATAATGCATCTTAGTTATGAATATACTTTTCATTACGAATATTCTGATCTTTGTTTATTCCCTGAACTGATACCAAGTCAGTGCTGGTATTCTTTTTAAATAGTCAGAATAGTCATGAGAGAATAATATTTTCCTCCTTTCATTCTGGAAATGTTTATACAGTTATTAGGAGATAAATCTAAAACTTAATTTAAAAGCAAAGAAAAGCACATCTGAGTAATCAAGACAGTTCTCTGAGATCTGCTTTAAAAGATTTCTGTAAAGAATTGGGGGAAAAAAAGGAAGAAGATAATGTTGGACAGCTCTTCAAAAACTAGATTACCCGTAGAGGATTACAGTAGTAACAATAACATCTTTTTGTTGTTTTATTGTTGTTAATATAATAGTATTGTTAAATTTGGTATGAAATCTTCAGTGACTTACATAAAAGTTATTTGATTTTGGTACTAGTTAGGAGAAACTCATAGTCACGAAGAAGCGTCTGACATCCCCAGAGTGACCCAAAAACAGTGAGCATGGGGTGTGGTCAAATTATTGAGATTTCTTGAACAAAAAATGCCTCAGAGTGAAACTGAGATTTGGTGTCTTTTTACTGTGTACTCGATCCAGTTAGATGGGCACTTGACATTCAATGGTATCAGATAACTTAAGTCATCAGGTGGCCTTTAAGAGTCTCACATGATCCAGACAGTTAAACTACAGAAGGTTATTTAGGTGGGGTTTGGGTATAGTTAGAAGGTGGATAAGGGATGTTAAAAAATTAAACTAAAGTCTGGGAACAGTGAGGAGTTTTGATCCTAACTGCTGGGCTTCAGCCAGGCTAGAAGAATATGTTAATACTGAAACTGCAGTCTTGTTAGATCCTTTTCTATATAGCTGGCTAGGAAGGAGATGAGGCACATAAAAACAGGATATCTCCAGGACAAGCTTCATGGTGTAAAAAAAAAGTCTTCACCGCTAAATTTATGTTTACACAAGTAGGGGTCCTGTTATTTTAGAAGCTGTTCAGGCTTGTTATCCCATATTAACAATCTTGCTTCTAGGTTTTAAAGGCATGCTGACATTGTTGCTTAAAATCCCCTAGTAACACCATAGAATTCCAGCAAGCTAGAGGGATTAAAGAATCTTCTCTGGCTGGGTACCTTGATATTCTAGCATTCTTCCCCCTTATTTTAGGTAAACATTAAATTTACCTTTCAGCTATGTAAACAGATTTTATATTACAGCAAGTTAAGTAGCGATCTTTCCCACATAAGTGGTCATATCAATGCTGAGATTTATGGCATATTCAGTTTCCATGCTAAATGGACTAGGTAAGAGCAAAATATTGTCACTGTACTTTGAACAAAGTATTGCAAATTTGAGGAATTCTGGGACATGCAGACAAGGTGGGATTACATGAAACTGGACACATTTATTAATGGGTTTTTAATTCGTTATTTGAAAACTCCCTACATATACTCATATATTCTTTAATTCAAAGTTCAAAATTATTTAATACAAATCTCTAGCTCTTTCTTTGCTGCACACACCTAAAAACTGTCTTTTCTTTTTCTTTCTTCCTTTCCTTTTTACTAGCAAACTATTTACAGATTTTATATTGAACGTTCCAGTGGGCCGTCTCACAATTCAGAAGCTGTACTGTTTGATTGAAATAGTTCACAGCGACCTTTTCACACAGCATGGTAAGGAAAAATCAAAGAATCTTTAAAGAATCATTAAATTGTCACACTTTTGTTATCTGCCAGTCTTTGTCAATGTGAGTTGTGACTCACTGCATATAGTATTTGAGCTTGTAGCCAATAAAAACCACTGTATTACTACTATAAAAAGGTACATGGTTCTATGGGAAAAGTAATACAGAATATTGGATTAATTTTGGGAACTCTGGTTTGGAAAAAGATACACCTGTCTCCATTATTCAGGATTAATACCACATGTATACCAATATTTATTTAAACCATTTAAATTCTTTTGAACTATGGTGCTGGAGAAGACTCTTCAGTCCCTTGGACTGCAAGAAGATCAAATCAGTCAATCCTAAAAGAAATCAACCCTGACTGTTCCCTGGAAGGCCAGATAATGAAACTGAAGCTCAAATACTTTGGCCACTAAATGAGAAGAGAGCACTCACTGGAGAAGACCCTGATGCTGGGAAAGATTGAAGGTCAAAGAAGACGGGACGGCAAAGGATGAGATGGTTAGACAGTGTCATAGATGCAACGAACATGAAATTGAGCCAACTTCAGAGGACGGCGGAAGACAGGAAGGCCTGGCAGGATCTGGTCCATGGGGTCGCGAAGAGTCGGACTCGACTGTGCGACTGAACAACAACAACAACAACAACAAAAGGTATAATCTTAGACGTGGTCTCTGTGCTTCACACCCATGGGATTTAGTGCGCACACGCTGGATCGATCGGTGCTGTAACAAGTTCTTTTAACGGATTTTCGCGCCCAGACCTCGGGCATGCGCAGGAACCCCACCGCGCATGCCCGGAGGGGAGGGCGCGGACATCCCGCCAGTTCCTTTCTTACCACCACATTGGAAAGACCTTTTTCTTCATCGGTCTGATCGGTTCGTGTGTTTTGGCTTTTTGCCTCACGGCTCTTTGGATTTTTCCCTCAGTTTATTCCTTTTCTTCGTTGTTCTTTCAGAAAACTTAAAAAAAAACCCTTTTATTTTGTGCTGAGGGGGGGTTGCCGCTTTACCTCAGTCAGGCCTTCGGACTACCCCCCCTCACCCCTTCTTTCTTCTTTATTTTGGTTTTTATGGAGAAGAAGTTGGGCTTTTTTAATAGGTGCAAGGGTTGCGGTAGTAAACTTGCTCCTCCTGACCGTCATACCCTTTGCATACTTTGTCTCGGAGAGTCTCATCGACCCGAATCCTGTCACCACTGTGCTCGCTTTTCAAACCAGACCCGAAAAAACCAAGCTGCGCGCCCTGCATATGAGACTCGTTACTTTGGTGTACTGTCCCTTCGAATATCTTCCAGGGAGCACCCTTCCACCCTCCGTCGCCCCAAGTCACCATAATGACAGATGCTTCCCTGACGGGATGGGGTGCGCACTCCATGGGCCTATCTGTTGGGGAAAAATGGGATGCGCAGAACAGGAAGCGACATATAAACTTCCTAGAACTGCTGGCAATACTACATGCTGTCACCAGCTTCCTACCTTTAATCAAGGGAAAATGTGTCACGGTCGTCATGGACAACACCATGGCGCTCTCTTATGTCAACAGACAAGGAGGCACTGTTTCCCTACGCTTCTGCAACCTTGCCATACAGTTGTGGGACCTTTGCATCACCAACAACATTTACCTCGTAGCCACTCATATCCCTGGTAACATGAACGTCCAGGCAGATCATCTAAGTTGAGCAGGTCTCAGCCTTGATGAGTGGGAGATGAACCCAACATACCTCCTCCCACTCTTCCGTAGGTGGGGACCTCCCCAAGTCGATGTTTTTACCTCCAGAAACAACAAACAGTGTCCTCTGTTCTGCAGTTGAGGAGGCAGGGACCCACAATATCTGGGAGATGGTCTCCTTTACCCTTGGTCCACGGGACTTCTTTACCTGTTCCCTCCCCTACCTCTGCTTCTGAGAGTGGTCCGCAAAATACTCAGAGACAGCGGTGACTGAATCTTACTAACCCCATAGTGGCCGAGACAACCTTGGTTTTCAACAGTCCTCGAGCTATCAGAAGGAATATACCATCGCTAGGAATGTTATTGCATTTCATTGGAAATCCAAGAAGACGCTGCTATTGAGTGACTGGTTCCTGAAATTGTGGGACTTCTTTTTACAGGACAAAGTTTCCACTAGCATCCTACGATCCGAAAATCAACCTGTTCCTGACAATCTTCAAGAAAAATGGATGCCCCTCTTGGAAGCCTCAGCAGCACATAAAATGGACACCTCCCTGTTTGCCCTGCATAAACACCAGGACTTGCTTTCCTATTTTTAACTGTTTTTTATATTTAATAAAAAATTTTAAAAAAAGAAGAAGAAGAAGGAATATACC